TCCCTGACCCTTTCCAAAAAATGCGTCGGGTGAAAGGCCTAGCCTAACCATCTGGATTTACCATTACTTAGCTGCATGTATGAATGCACCTTTGGTCTAGGTTCAGGTTGCGTTTGAGGCGTTTCTGCATTGCATTTTTGCACTATCCTCGGGGTTCTCAGTGACACCCCAGTCTTTGTGTGACATCGGCGTCAAGGGTTAAAGTGTTACTAAACCCACAACAGTACAATCAGTCTGTATATGTAGTAAAGCATGCTTGTTATACTCACTGTGGAACCTAAGGGGTTAATCCTCTGCATTGTGTAAAAAGGCTGTTTGATCCTGTCTTCTCTGATCCTCCCCTTTTTCAAGCAACCACCTCTTATCTCCTGACTGAACTGTACTGTTCCCAATCCATCTGCTGACAGAACAGAGCCTTGGGGGAAAACTGTACATGCTCAATTTGGTGTGTATTGCTAGAGAGCTTTTTTTCTTGGGAGGGTGCATCAGGACCAATCAGCACTGTCCAGAGGGTCAGGGGTCATGCAGCCTAATAGGACAATCAGCAGAGAATGAAAACTCCTCCTACAAGCTTTAACTAGTGCTCTGCAGGATACTGATAGAAGTCACAAGACTGCTCTTTACTGCTGATGAGAAAAGGTATTTAGCAGTTTATATTTACTAAGATAATTGCATTTCCATGTTCTGTGTACTGTCGGAGACTGGATGTAGTGAATGCAATGGTCCGGGGAGAGCAGATATAGTGAATGCAGGGTCCGGGGAGACCGGATATAGTGAATGCAGGGTCCGGGGAGACCAGATATAGTGAATGCAGGGTCCGGGGAGAGCGGATATAGTGAATGCAGGGTCCGGGGAGAGCGGATATAGTGAATGCAGGGTCCGGGGAGAGCGGATATAGAGAATGCAGGGGGGTACGGGGAGAGCGGATATAGTGAATGCGGGGTCCGGGGAGACCGGATATAGTGAATGCGGGGTCCGGGGAGAGCGGATATAGTGAATGCGGGGTCCGGGGAGAGCGGATATAGTGAATGCGGGGTCCGGGGAGAGCGGATATAGTGAATGCGGGGTCCCGGGGCCGGATATAGTGAATGCGGGGTCCGGGGAGACCGGATATAGTGAATGCGGGGTCCGGGGAGACCGGATATAGTGAATGCGGGGTCCGGGGAGACCAGATATAATGAATGCAGGGTCCGGGGAGAGCGGATATAGTGAATGCGGGGTCCGGGGAGAGCGGATATAGTGAATGCGGGGTCCGGGGAGACCGGATATAGTGAATGCGGGGTCCGGGGAGACCGGATATAGTGAATGCGGGGTCCGGGGAGACCGGATATAGTGAATGCGGGGTCCGGGGAGACCGGATATAGTGAATGCGGGGTCCGGGGAGACCGGATATAGTGAATGCGGGGTCCGGGGAGACCAGATATAGTGAATGCGGGGTCCGGGGAGACCAGATATAGTGAATGCGGGGTCCGGGGAGACCAGATATAGTGAATGCGGGGTCCGGGGAGACCAGATATAGTGAATGCGGGGTCCGGGGAGACCAGATATAGTGAATGCGGGGTCCGGGGAGACCAGATATAGTGAATGCGGGGTCCGGGGAGACCAGATATAGTGAATGCGGGGTCCGGGGAGAGATGATACAGTGAATGCAGGGTCCGGGGAGACTGGATATAGTGAATGCAGGGTCCGGGGAGAGATGATACAGTGAATGCAGGGTCCGGGGAGACTGGATATAGTGAATGCAGGGTCCGGGGAGAGATGATACAGTGAATGCGGGGTCTGGGGAGACCAGAGATAGTGAATGCAGGGTCCGGGGAGACCGGATATAGTGAATGCAGGGTCTGGGGAGACCGGAGATAGTGAATGCAGGGTCCAGGGAGACCGGAGATAGTGAAATGCCCTCTGAAAACTGTTCCACCGCAAATCACTTTTCAGAGGGATGGCAAAAACTGCTGCACACTTGAACGAGCCCTTTAAGATCAGCAATTTTCATTATAATAATCTCTGGTGATCCTTGTTCAGATACTTCCTGTTAGACGCTCTGCATCCTTAATGTGCTTTTGTGTTGTCACTCTGCCACACAGACGTCCGATGGAGACAAGAGGTGTAGTCTCAATTAGAAGACTGCAAGTGAAACGCGTAGATGTCAAGCAAGATTTAGTAGCTGCTCCAAAAAAAAATGGAGAGTGGACCCCCCCCCCCAGGTAGTGGAAATGGGAAGCCTACACCTGGGGTGTCACCGAGGCAGGAAGTGAGGTTAAACATGCCAAGCGGAGCCACAGGGATACAAAAGCTGGCAAAGCATCTGCCACTTCCAGAACTACTTATGGCTGGAGTTCCACTTTAAACTGATTCTCAAGAACAGCACTTCATTTACAAGCCCCAACCAATCATTATTGTCGGATTGTCTGCAGAACGTTTCATTGTTGCTGTTATTCCCGCGCTGATTGGAGTGCAGGACACATATACATCATTAGAGGGCCGGGCGCACTTCACAGATGTAGGAGTGCGTCCTACTGGAAGGACGTGATTACCGGATCAATCAGCGGGGGGTCAGGGTTCCACTTACTCTGATTGGAGTGACGTCTTCATCCCCCGGCGCCTCTCACCGCGCTGACCTGCGTCTACCCGCCAATCAGCTGCATCCACAACTTCACGGCTCTACCAGCCAGATAATGGGCTTGATTAGATTAAGCTGTGATTAAGTCGTACGGCAAATTTTCTGGACAGGTCGTGGACCTATGAGTGTTAGAAACCTGCGATAATCACGCCGCGTCGCCTGAAACAATGTAGCCACTAAAATCTTCATGATGTTTCAAAAGTCAATTCCAAATGAAATCAGCAGCTTTCATAAAAAAAAAATAAAAATCCTGCGATGATGGTCACTTCCTGTTTGAGGTGACAACACTTTGTCCCTATCTAGCAATTGTTTTCCTCTGTTGTCACCTTGTTCAATGCGCTTCCTATTGAGAATGCTAATATAAAGACAGGAATGGCCTACTGTTGTCACCATTAGGAGACACAGGAAAACCTATGTTGTCATTACTGATGTGCATGTAGGAAGTATTTGAAAAGAGGCTGCAGGAGATCGTCAACCTGTTTATTTCCAGTATTTTTAAATCTGCAGCTTTCATTGAAATAATACCAGGTGATCCTGTCATTAAGGTCCTTGTTCAGGTGACAACGTTGTCTCACAGTTTGTGCTCCTTGTTCAGGTACTTCCTGTTTAAGGTGACAACACTTCCTCCCTGCCTCACTATTGTGCTCCTGTGTTGTCACCCTATTCAATGCGCTTCCTATTGAGAATGCTAATATAAAGACAAGAAAGGTCTACTGTTGTCACCATTAACAAACACAGGGGAAGAAAACATGTAGTGATCAATGATGTGCATGTAGGAAGTAGTTGGAAAGAGGCTGCAGGAGATCACCAGCCTATTTGTTATTTCCAGTATTTTTAAATCTGCAGCTTTCATTAAAATACCAGGTGATCCTGACATGAAGGTCCTTGTTCAGGCACTTCCTGTTTAAGGTGACAACACTTCATCCTTCTCACAATTGTGCTCTTGTGTTGTCACCTTGTGCAGGGGGCTTCCTGTAGAGACTACAGATGGCCATATAAAGACATATTATGCAGACATGGTCTTCTGTTGTCACCATTAGGAAACCTGATAAAAGCCATGCAGCCATCGCCGAAATGCATGTAAGTGACAAGTAGCTGCAAAGAGGATGCAGAAGATCAGCAACTTTTATGTTATTTCCAGTATTTTTAAATCTGCAGCTTTCATAAACATTATTATGCCTGGTGATCCTGCCATGAAGGTTCTTATTCAGGCACTTCCTGTGTAAGGTGACAACCCTTCATCCCTATCTCACAGTTTTGCTCCTATGTTGTCACCAGGGGCGGACTGACCATTTGAAAACTTGGGCACTGCCCGAGGGCCCGGGGTCAGTAGGGGGCCCCATGAGATGCGCCTGGTACCTTTTTCGTAGGCTTTTTGAGTTTGGGCGAGGACACAGGGGCCCCATGATCCTCTCTTGCCCGGGGGGCCCCATGAGTTGTCAGTCCGCTCCTGGTTGTCACCTAGGTGCAGTGGGCTTCCTTGACTACGGATGGCCATATAAAGACATTATGCAGGAAAGGTCCACTGGTGCCATCATTTGCAGACCCAACAAATACCAGGCAGCTCTTGCTGGAGTTCATGGAGATAGAAAGCAGCTGCAAAGAGGCTGCAGGAGATCAGCAGCACTGAGATGTAACAAAGGATGAAAAAAATGTGAAAAAAAGAATTTTTATTTAAAAATGCCGTCACACCTCCTGCATCCAAACAAACCTACAGCCTGATTGGCTTAGAGTGCTGCCCCTCCCCCTCCCAGTGCTGCTGTTCAAGGAGATTCGAGAAGCCAATATAAAAACAAAGTCAGGTACTTTTGGTAGCTGTGTGTAAATAAAAAAAAAAAAAAAAAAAAAAAGCTTTATTGATTTGTGAACACACAAACAGAATAAAATGTGTTTTTTAAGAGCTGAAATCCAGGAGAAGTAAATATCTGGGTGTGCTTTGTTTCTTCCAGATCCTTGCAGTAATCCAGTGTGAGACTTCCTGTAATAAAGACCGCTCACTGCTGCTCTCTCTCCTTGTGCAGGGTGACTGGTCTTGTCTCTGCCCCCTCCTGTAGTTTAGTAGGTGGAGCCTGTTGGGCCCCTCCCACAGCTCTGCTCTCTGCACAGGCTATGAACAGCACAGTGATCAGGTCACTGCTACTTTTACAAGGTAATATCTGGGTTTGTAAAAGCATTTGGTGCCCACAGAGTGCATTTTATGTCCTTTGTGGCTAGTGAGGGAAACAAAAAGAGTTGTTTTGTGTTCAGAGTTCAGTTTTGATCATTTAGGGAACTCGAGCCTTTCTCCCACATATGATGGAAGAAGTACATTGGAACGCCTGTTAACTCCTTATTTTTCTTTTTTGTCGACAGGAGGACAGCCGACATGGAAGGGGATAGCTTAAGCTGCGTGAAATACCTCATGTTCATCTTTAACTTTTTTATATTTGTAAGTATTCATTTTTTTTTTTTACCATTTTTCAGAATAAATAACTGTTTTGCATGCATTGAAAGTCCAACTCTGGGCAATTAAAAAAAAATCAGGGGGCCCCAGGAAGTGCTAAAAAAAATAAATAATTATAAAAAAAACGGTTCTGGCTGCAGTACTCACCTCCTCTCTGGTGCTGTCCTTTGTCATAATTAATTCCACCACTAGATGTCCTCAGTCTTCCAAGTTAAGGGCTAGCACAGGGGTGGGCAAACTTTTTGACTTGAGGGCCGCAATGGGTTCATATATTGGACCAGGGGGCCGGACCAAGAGTAGATGAATGATGTGTATGTGTCATCCATAGTAAGTATAGTAATATTCCCCCATAGTAAGCATAGTAATTAATCCCCCATATAGTAATTCATCCCCCATATAGTAATTAATCCCCCATATAGTAATTCATCCCCATATAGTAATTAATCCCCCATATAGTAATTCATCCCCCCCATTCATCCCCCATATAGTAATTCATATTCCCCCCATATAGTAATTCATCCCCCCTATAGTAATTCATCCCTCATATAGTAATTCATTCATCCCCCATAGTAATTTCAGTAATTCATCCCCCCATAGTAATTCATCCCCCTATAGTAATTCATTAGTAATTCATCCCCCATAGTAATTCATCCCCCATAGTAATTCATCCCCCTATAGTAATTCATCCCCCATATAGTAATTCATCCCCCATATAGTAAGTAATTCATCCCCCTATAGTAATTCATCCCCCATATAGTAATTCATCCCCCATATAGTAATTCATCCCCCATATAGTAATTCATCCCCCATATAGTAATTCATCCCCCATAGTAATTCATCCCCCATATAGTAATTCATCCCCCATATTAATTCATCCCCCATATTAAGTCCCCAAGTCCCCCCCCCTGTGTCAATTTACTTACCTTTGCTCCGCGCGTTCCTCTCGCCGTGTTCCTGCGCCGTTCCGGTCTTCAGGGCGGACTGTGAGAGGAGCCTAGCTTCCCTCTCCCCTCACGTTCGTCACGCTGCCCCGCCTACACACATCCTGACAGCCAATGTATCACGCTCTGCGGGCCGGATTAAAAGGTCCGCCGGGCTGTATACGGCCCGCGGGCCGTAGTTTGCCCATTGCTGGGCTAGCATCATATAAAGACTTTATATGGGGTCTCCCTGCGGGTTCAGGGGTTAATGGACCCGCCCACGAGGAGTTGTAAGAGAACAGAAATCCTCATGTCACATGACCAACCTGGAAAAATATTTAAAAAATGTATAAAGTACAGGGGGAGTGATGAGCACTTGGGGGAGAGGGAAGGGGGAGGGGTGGGATTGGGGGGGATGGGGACTTGGGGTTGAATGAGGAGGAATGAAGTTACTATTATTTTTATTATACAGGATTTATATAGTGGCATCAGTTTGCTCAGCACTTTACAATATAAGGGAGACAGTACAATTACAATACATTTCAATACAGAAGGAATAGGAGGGCCCGGCCCGAGGAGCTTACAATCTAAAGGAAGGGGGAGGGGATACAAAAGGTGATAGCTGCGGGGGATGATCTGGTGGAGGTGATTCAAGTACAGTTCTTAGGTGGAGGTGGGGTAGGCTTCCCTGGAGAAGTGAGTTTTCAAAGATCTCCTAAAGGCAGACAGGGTGGGGGCTGACCAGACATACTGTGGTAAGGGAGTTCCAGAGGATGGGAGAGGCTCTGGAGAAGTTACATTTGTAATTTGCACCTAAAAACCTTTTTTTTAATTATTTTTTTTTTCAAGCCTTTCAGATCCTTACTTGTTTGCTGTTCCATATTTTTCTTTATTGCATTTCATATATGGACTTAGCTGCATACAATTAGTATTTCTTCTTAAATCTCATGCTTTCAAAAAACACATGTAGTAGTTTGATATATCCAGCAACCTTGAAGTCCTAACCTCTGACCTCTGCCTTCTGTTGTCCTGGGCTTTGAAAGGGTTCTTCACAAACCAGTGTAAATACTGCATTGTTTACATTTAGCTGGTCTGTAGTCTGCACTGATGAGGGATCAGATATCCCCTCTGGGTGTGCATTCTGGAATCTGCTGTAATAGTTGTGAACATGTAATAGGGAAGGGACTGGGCTTGGATGCTGTTAGCAGTTTGTTGTCTCCACTTACTACACCAGTGCATTGCAGTGTGACACTCAGCATTGTCATGTGTGATGTCATGGAGGTGATTCCGTTAAGTGTGGGAACATTTCTGTTTGCCAAGACAGCTTCCTTTTCATCCCACCAACCTCCAAGTCTTCATCCCCTATGAAAGGTGTTCATTCTTCGTGAGTGGTCCATATCACTCCATAACCCGTCCCTATCTCCAGCATGATCGGCTCTTGCATGAGTGATCCTCATTCTTCCACAACCTGTCCTCATCCTCCCATGACCCATCTTTATCTCCTATGAGTGGTCTTCATCTCCATGACCAATCTTCATTCCCCATGACCCATTCTCATCCCCCAATGAGTGGTCCTTATTCCTCCACAACATGTCCTCATCACCCCATGACTCATCCTCATCCCCCATGACCCACCTTTATCTCCTATGAGTGGGCTTCATCTCCATGACCAATCTTCATTCCCCATGACCCATTCTCATCCCCCCATGAGTGGTCCTTATTCCTCCACAACCTGTCCTCATCACCCCATGACTCATCCTCATCCCCATCCCCCATGACCCATCTTTATCTCCTATGAGTGGTCTTCATCTCCATGACCCATCTTCATTCCCCATGACCCATTCTCATCCCCCCTGTGACTGGTTCTCATTCCCCCATGAGCATTCCTCATCCCCTATGACAGATCCTTGTCTCCTGATGACTCATCCTCACCCCCCCCCCCCATTACCCATCTTTATCCCCATGAACTGTCCTCATTCTCCTCATGAATGGTCCTCATTCCTCCACAACCTGTCCCCCCATGACTCATCCTCATCCCCCCATGACCCATCTTTATACCCATGAGTGATCCTCATCCCCATGACCCATCTTCATCCCCCCATGAGTGGTCCTTATTCCTCCACAACCTGTCCTCATCACCCCATGACTCATCCTCATCCCCCATGATCCATCCTTATCTCCTATGAGTGGTCTTCATCTCCATGACCCATCTTCATTCCCCCATGACCCGTTCTCATCCCCCTGTGACTGGTTCTCATTCCCCCATGAGCATTCCTCATCCCCTATGACTGATCCTTATCTCCTGATGACTCATCCTCATCCCCGTATTACCCATCTTTATCCCCCATAATCTGTCCTCATTCTCCCCATGAATGGTCCTCATTCCTCCACAACCTGTCCTCATCCCCCCATAAGCCATCTTTATACCCATGAGTGGTCCTCATCCCCATGACCCATACTCATCCCCCCATGAGTGGTCCTTATTCCTCCACAACCTGTCCTCATCAACCCATGACTCATCCTCATCCCCCATGACCCATCCTCATCCTCCATGACCCATCCTCATCCCCATGAGTGGTCCTCTATCCAATAACCCGTCTTCATCCACCCATGAGTGGTCCTTATTCTTCCACAACCTGTCCTCATCACCCCATGACTCATCCTCATCCCCCATGACCCATCTTTATACCCATGAGTGGTCCTCATCCCCCATGACCTATCCTCAACCCCCCATGAGTGGTCCTTATTCCTCCACAACCTGTCCTCATCACCCCATGACTCATCATCCCCCATGACTCATCCTCATCCCCATCCCCCATGACCCATCCTTATCCCCATGAGTGATCCTCTATCCAATGACCCGTCTTCATCCACCCATGAGTGGTCCTTATTCTTTCCACAACCTGTCCTCATCACCCCATGACTCATCCTCATCCCCCCATGACCCATCTTTATCCCCATGAGTGGTCCTCTATCCAATGACCCGTCTTCATCCACCCATGAGTGGTCCTTATTCTTCCACAACCTGTCTTCATCACCTCGTGACCCATATTTTTCCCCCATGAGTGGTCCTTATTACCATGATCCATCTTCATTCCCCAAAAACCCTTCCTCATCCCTCCATGAGTGGTCCTCATTCCTCCGCAACTTGTCCTCATCACCCCATGACCCAATCTCATCCTCCCCCGTGACTGGCCCTCATCCCAACATGGCCCTTCTTTATCCCCATTACCTGCCCTAATCCTCCCATGAGTGGTCCTCATTCCTCCACAACCTGTCTTCATCACCCCATGACTCTTCCATATCCCCCTATGACTTATCTTTGTCCACCATAATTGGTCTTTATTACCATGACCCGTCCTCATATCCCCCTATGAGTGGTCCTCATTCCTCCGCAACTTGCCTTCATCATCCCATGACCCATTCTCATCCCCCCCCCATTGACTGGTCCTCTTTCCATATGACCGATCCTTAACACCCCTTGACTCATCCTCCCGCCATGACCCATATTTATCCCTTCTTGAGTGGTCCTTATTCCTCCACAATCTGTCCTCATCACGCCATCACTCATCCTCATCCCCCTATGACCCATCTTTATCCCCCATGAGTGGTCCTTATTCATCCCATTCTCATCCCCCCATGACCCATTCTCACCCCCCCCCTCCGTGGCTGGTCCTCTTTCCTTATGATCAGTCCTTATCACCCCATGACTCGTCCTCCTCTCCCCATGACCCATCTTTATCCCCATGAGACGTCCTCATCCCCTCATGAGGGGTCCTCATCTTTTCATGTGACTGGTCCTCATTCCCTATGACCGATGTCATCACCCAATGACTCATCCTCATCCCCCATGACTCATCTTTATCCCCATGACCTGTCTTCACCCACCCATCCACCCACCCACCAGTGGTCCTTATTCCTCCACAACCTGTCCTTATCACCCCATGATTCGTCCTCATCCCCCTATGACCCATCTTTATCCCCATGACCTGTCTTCAACCACCCACCCACCAGTGGTCCTTATTCCTCCACAACCTGTCCTTATCACCCCATGATTCGTCCTCATCCCCCTATGACCCATCTTTATCCCCATGACTTGTCTTCACCCCCCCACCCATGAGTGGTCCTTATTTCTCCACAACCTGTCCTCCTCACCCCATGATTTGTCCCCATCCCCCTATGACCCATCCTTATCCCCCATGAGTTGTCCTAACCTGCCCATGACCCATTTTTGTCCCGCCTTTTCTCCTGTGTGTTGTGACTATCTGGGTGGAAGCAGAATCTTGAATGGTGGGTGCAGCAGAGTACAGATAGCTCTGTATATTGTAAAGTGCTGAGCAAACTGTTGGCGCTATATAAATCCTGTATAATAATAATAATAATAATAATAATATATGAATCCTGTATATAATAATAATATATAAATCCTGTATAATAATATATAAATCCTGTATAATAATAATATATAAATCCTGTATAGTAATAATAATAATAATATAAATCCTGTACAATAATAATAATATATAAATCCTGTATAATAATAATAATAATAATATATAAATCCTGTGTAATAATAATATATAAATCCTGTATAGTAATAATAATAATAATATATAAATCCTGTATAATAATAATAATATAAATCCTGTATAATAATAATAATATATAAATCCTGTATAATAATAATATATAAATCCTGTAATAATATCTAAATCCTGTATAATAATAATAATATCTAAATCCTGTATAATAATAATAATATCTAAATCCTGTATAATAATAATAATATAATAAATCTAAATCCTGTATATAATAATATATAAATCCTGTACAATAATAATAATAATAATAATATATAAATCCTGTATAATAATAATAATATATAAATCCTATATAATAATAATATATAAATCCTGTATAATAATAATATATAAATCCTGTATAATAATAATAATATATAAATCCTATATAATAATAATATATAAATCCTGTATAATAATATATAAATCCTGTATAATAATAATAATATATAAATCCTGTATAATAATAATATATAAATCCTGTATAATAATAATAATATATAAATCCTATATAATAATAATATATAAATCCTGTATAATAATAATATATAAATCCTGTATAATAATAATAATATATAAATCCTATATAATAATAATATATAAATCCTGTATAATAATATATAAATCCTGTATAATAATAATAATAATATATAAATCCTATATAATAATAATATATAAATCCTGTATAATAATATATAAATCCTGTATAATAATAATAATAATATATAAATCCTGTATAATAATAATATATAAATCCTGTATAATAATAATAATATATAAATCCTGTATAATAATAATAATATATAAATCCTATAATAATAATAATATATAAATCCTGTATAATAATAATAATATATAAATCCTGTATAATAATAATAATAATATATAAATCCTATATAATAATAATATATAAATCCTGTATAATATATAATAATCCTGTATAATAATAATATAATATATAAATCCTGTATAATAATAATAATATATAAATCCTATATAATAATAATATATAAATCCTGTATAATAATAATAATATATAAATCCTGTATAATAATAAAAAAATAGATCAGACAAATCACGTAGCATTACCCATGTAGCAGCTTTCTTTTATTCCTACTGTGTTAACACATCTCCCACCTCCGCTTCCTCCTAGCTCGGCGGAACGTTTCTGCTCGGACTCGGGGTTTGGGTAATCGTTGACCCCACCGGTTTCCGGGAAATCATAGCTGCAAACCCCTTGATGTTCATGGGCGCCTACCTGGTTCTGGCCATGGGGGCCATGTTGTTTCTTCTCGGCTTCCTGGGCTGCTGTGGAGCCATCCGTGAGAACAAGTGCCTTCTGTTGTTTGTAAGTAGTAGCTTTGTTATAATATTACTAAAGAAAATATCCTCCAGGTAATAATCGAAACCAGTGGTCTCCAAACTGTGACCCGGGGACCAGATGTGGCCCTTCGCTTGCTTTTATCTGACCCGTGGGGCAATATTTCATCCTCAGTCCCCAACAATGGGGCATAATTCCCTCCACTAAAACCAATGAAGGGGCACAATTCCTCTCAATGACATTAACGATGGGGCACAGTTTCTCCCAATGACACCAATGATGGGGCACAGTTCCTCCCAATGATGGGGTGCAGTTCCTCCCAATAACACCAATGATGGGGCACAATTTCTCCCAATGACACCAATGATGGGGCACAGTTTCTTCCAATGACACCAATGATGGGGCATAGATCCTCACAATGATGGGGCATAGTTCCTCCCAATGATGGGGTGCAGTTCCTCCCAATAACACCAATGATGGGGCACAATTTCTCCCAATGACACCAATGATGAGTACAATTTCTCCCAATGACACCAATGATGGGGCACAGTTTCTTCCAATGACACCAATGATGGGGCACAGTGATTGGGCACAGTTCCTCCCAATGATAAGGCACAGTTCCTCCCAATGACACCAATGATGGGGCACAATTTCTCCCAATTACACCATGATGGGGCACAGTTCCTCCCAATGATGAGGCACAGTTCCTCCCAATGACACCAATGATGGGGCACAATTTCTCCCAAATACACCAATGATGGGGCACAGTTCCTCCTAATGACGAGGCACAGTTCCTCCCAATGACACCAGTGACGGGGCACAGTTTCTCCCAATGACACCAGTGACGGGGCACAGTTTCTACCAATGACATTATGATGGGGCACAGTTCCTCTCAATGACACCAATTATGAGGCACAGTTCCTCCCAATTACACCAATGACGGGGCACAGTTTCTCCCAATGACACCAATGATGGGGCACAGTTCCTCCAAATGACACCAATGATGAGGCACAGTTCCTCTCAATGACACCAATGATGAGACACAGTTCCTCCAATTACAATTGACGGGGCACAGTTTCTCCCAATGACACCAATGATGGGGCACAGTTCCTCCCAATGGCACCAATGATGGGGCACAGATCCTCACAATGATGGGGCACAGTTCCTCCCAATGATGGGACGCAGTTTCTCCCAATGACACCAATGATGGGGCACAGATCCCAATGACACAATGATGGGGCACAGTTCCTCCCAATGATGGGATGCAGTTTCTCCCAATGACACCAATGATGGGGCACAATTTCTCCCAATACACGAATGATGGGGCACAATGTTCCTTACACCAATGATGGGGCACTTTTCCTCCAAATGATGAGGCACAGTTCCTCCCAATGATGACAACAATGATGAGGCACAGTTTCTCCCAATGATGAGGCACACCAATGATGGGGCAGGCACAGTTCCTCCCAATGATGAGGCACACCAATGATGGGGCACAGTTCCTCCCAATGATGAGGCACAGTTCCTCCCAATGATGAGGCACAGTTCCTCCCAATGATGAGGCACAGTTCCTCCCAATGATGAGGCACAGTTCCTCCCAATGATGAGGCACACATGATGAGGCACAGTTTCTCCCAATGATGAGGCACAGTTTCTCCCAATGATGAGGCACAGTTCCTCCCAATGATGAGGCACAGTTCCTCCCAATGATGAGGCACAGTTCCTCCCAATGACACCAATGATGGGGCACAATCTCTCCCAATGACACCAATGATGGGGCACAGTTCCTCCCAATGACACCAATGATGGGGCACAATTTCTCCCAATGACACCAATGATGGGGCACAATTTCTCCCAATGACACCAATTGGAGATCAAAGTGTCTGGTAAGAGGCTTATTTTTTCTTTTGTATCAAGCATTTGTGGACACCTTTGCACTTTCCGTTGGAGGATTTCTTTACACACAGCACTGTGTTATTGGACTTTGGGACGTTTAATTATTTAATATATGAATGTGGACTTATATCATTTTAATTTCTGCACATTTTTCATGTAGCAGCATTTATTTGATTGATTATTGTTTATAATTATTTAGTGTACAGCGCACTCATTTATTATATACTTTTCTGAAGACTCACTGACCCGACAGAGTGCTAATCATCATCAATGTCCCCGTTTTTTCTTCCAGTTCTTCATGTTCATTCTGGTTATTTTCCTGGCAGAACTCTCGGCTGCAATTTTGGCGTTCCTGTTCAGGGAGAACGTAAGTGTGGCAGAGCCGTACTGATCAGAATCTAGTGGTGTCTGGTGGCCGACGAGATTTCTAACCAATTCTTCCATGTCTGTGTGTGGTCACTATCGGACTGCATCAATCTCAGGATACTAAGGCTTGGTTCACACCAATGCGTTTTGCAGAAACACACTACAGTCCTTAACATGGTTTCCTATGGGACATGTTCACATCTTTGCGTTTTCAGCTGCTGGGTTTTTTTAAAGGGACAGGAACGTTTTGCAGCAGATTGCATTTTTGCTGCAATAGACTTCAATGGAACCGCACCGAAAACACAAGCGTTTTGCATTTTATTTTGGCCAATAGGAAAATATTGAGTGCGACTTTGGTGCGACTTTACACTCTCTGGCACTCAAGTCACATCAAAGTAGTGCAGGAACATTTTCAAAGTCACAGAGGCTTTGATGCAACTTTACACTGTCTGACACTCAAGTCTCAAAGTAGTTGAGGAACTTTTTCAAACTCTGTGACTTTGAAAAAATTCCTGCACTACTTTGATGTGACTCTACACTCTCTGGTACTCAGGTCGCATCAAAGTAGTTCAGGAACTTTTTCAAACTCTGTGACTTTGAAAAGATTCCTGCACTACTTTGATGCGACTCTACACTCTCCGGTACTCAGGTCGCATCAAAGTAGTTCAGGAACTTTTTCAAACTCTGTGACTTTGAAAAAGTTCTTGTACTACTTTGATGCGACCTGAGTGCCAGAGAGTGTAGAGTCGCATTAAAGTAGTGCAGGAACTTTTTCAAAGTCACAGAGTTTGAAAAAGTTCCTCAACTACTTTGAGACTTGAGTGTCAGACAGTGTAAAGTTGCATCAAAACCTCTGTGACTTTGAAAAGATTCCTGCACTACTTTGATGAGACTCTACACTATCTGGCACTCAGGTTGCATCAAAGTCACATCAAAGTAAAGAAGGAACATTTTCAAAGTCGCTGCGAATGTAAAAAGATTCCTGCACTACTTTAATGCGACTGTACACTCTCTGATGTGACTTTGATGCGACCTGAGTGCCAGAGAGTGTAGAGTCAAATTAAAGTAGTGCAGGAATCTTTTTAAATGTCACAGAGACTTTGATGCAACTTTACACTGTCTGGCACTCAAGTCTCAAAGTAGTTCAGAAACATTTTCAAAGTCTCTATAACTTTGAAAGGATTCCTGCACTACTTTAATGTGACTCTACACTCTCTGGCACTCAGGTCGCATCAAAGTAGTGCAGGAACTTTTTCAAAGTCACAGAGTTTGAAAAAGTTCCTGAACTACTTTGATGTGACTTTGATGCGACCTGAGTGCCAAAGTAGTTCAGGAGCTTTTTCAAACTCTGACTTTGAAAAAGTTCCTGCACTACTTTGATGCAACCTGAGTGCCAGAGAGTGTAGAGTCGCATTAAAGTAGTGCAGAAATCTTTTCAAAGTTATAGAGACTTTCAAAAAATGTTTCTGCACTACTTTGAGACTTGAGTGCCAGACAGTGTAAAGTTGCATCAAAGTCTCTGTGACATTTGAAAAGATTTCTGCACTACTTTAATGCGACTCTACACTCTCTGGCACTCAGGTCACATCAAAGTCACATCAAAGTAGTTCAGGAACTTTTTCAAACTCTGTGATTTTGAAAAAGTTCTTGCTCTATTTTGATGCGACCTGAGTGCCAGAGAGTGTAGAGTCGCATTAAAGTAGTGCAGGAATCTTTTCAAAGTCACAGAGACTTTGAAAATGTTCCTGCACTACATTGAGACTTGAGTGCCAGACAGTGTAAAGTTGCATCAAAGTTTCTGTGACTTTGAAAAGATTCCTGCACTACGTTGATGCGACTCTATACTCTCTGGCACTCAGGTCGCATCAAAGTCACATCAAAGCAAAGCAGGAACATTTTCAAAGTCGCTGCGACTTTGAAAAGGTTCCTGCACTACTTTAATGCGACTCTACACTCTCTGGCACTCAGGTTGCATCAAAGTCACATCAAAGTAGTTCAGGAATTTTTTCAAACTCTGTGACTTTGAAAAGATTCCTGCACTACTTTAATGTGACTCTACACTCTCTGGCACTCAGGTTGCATCAAAGTCACATCAAAGTTGTTCAGGAACTTTTTCAAACTCTGTGACTTTGAAAAGGTTCCTGCACTACTTTGATGCAACTCTGGCACTCAGGTCACATCAAAGTCACATCAAAGTCATGCAGGAACATTTTCAAAGTACTACTTTGATGTGATTTTGATGCGACTTGAGTGCCAGAGAGTATAAAGTTGCATCAAGGTCACACTAAATACTTTACTATTGGAAAAAAAAAAACCCATAATGCATCAAAAACACGTAAAAAAGTGTTAAAAAATGCAAAATAAACTGCAAAATGGGTCAGAAAAAAGCACATTAATCGCAACATGCATAGGTGTGAACAAGGCCTTCGAAGATGTACATGCATTTACACCAACCATGAAAAGAAATGTACACTCCGACACTAGATGAATAGAATGTATATGCTCTTACAACAGCCAGGGCCACTGTTAGAAATCACGGGGCCCCTACAGCCTACCTGCCAGGGTCCCCTCCCCCCAAAAATATCAAATGTTATTTTTGCTAAAACTACATTAAAGTCATTATTAGCAGACACAAGCAGAACATCTAAATGTAAAAGAGAAAACTGTACTGTGTTAATAAATAAAGCTGTGTGTGTGATTGAGGTATTGGGGCTCATTCACATGGGCGCTGTGGCCTGTACAGTGTGGATCAGTGTGGTTTTTTTTTTATGTGGCTTTTTTTTTTTACAATTTTATTTTTTATTTGTATTTCTTTATTATTTTTACCTTTTTTTTCTTTTTTTTTTTTTTACACTTTTAATTTTTATTATCTTTTTCAAAATTGTTTAGAAACTTTTTTACAATTATATTTTTTTTAGATTATTATTATTATTTTTTTTTTTTTAGCAAAGCCCTTTTGTGGGGGGAGGCTTTGGTGAAATATCATGGGTCTAAACAGACCCCTAATGTCTCACTTTTGAGACAAAGTGATTGAGGGCACAGTCCTCGCTGTCTGTCTTTGCAGCCTCAGCTGCACAGAATGAATGAACAAACTGAAGCATAGTAGATACAGTTTGCTATGCCTCAGTTATGAATGAACACTGTGAGTGACAAGTACCAATCACTCGCTGTGTTAATTTCCACCGCTCTCTATCCTGAAAGGATCCCCTGCAGCAGCCGACGAGAGAGAAAGGGGGCGGAAGCACGCACCACTTGGGAAGAGGACCATGGGAGCACACGTTGGGCCCCGATCAGCAGAAGGAAGGGCAATCTGGACAGGAGGGATGTTGGAAATGACTTTTACTAGGACTGTTCCCCTGTAGTTTTCCCCTTCAGCAGCTGAAAGATGTGGGAGGATAAGGAAAAAAAGTCACTTTTTCAGATGCTGCATAGGGGAGCTACAGGGGATCGGTTCCAGCCAATACCGCCTCTGCCACCCCTCCTGTCCAGGTTTCCCTTCCCTTTGCTTGTCAGCTGCCTGGGTCCTGTACAGGGGGACTGGTGGTACTGCTTTATTGGTGGCCCTGACAACAGCCACTAAGCAGGCCTGTCTGAATAGCATCATGGGCCCCTGGGCAAAGTAATGCTCTGGGGCCCCAACAAGCCTTCCCCAATTTACGCACGTGCTGTCAAGAATTAAAGTATAAAAAGTTGATAGAATTAAACATATATATAAATTAGTACTTTCAATAAAATCAATTTTAAACGATAAGAAAACATGCTATAAATCAAAGACTAATCAACACAAAGGGCACAGTACAGGGGGGTGGCAGAAGGGCACAATACAGGGGAGATCAGGAGGGCACAGTACATGGGGATCAGGAGGGCACAGTACAGGGGGGTGGCATAAGGGCACAATACAGGGGGGATCAGGAGGGCACAGTACAGGGGTATCAGGAGGGCACAGTATAGGGGGATGGCAGAAGGGCACAATACAGGGGGATCAGGAGGGCACAGAACAGGGGGGATCAGGAGGGCACAGAACAGGGGGGATCAGGAGGGCACAGAACAGGGGGGATCAGGAGGGCACAGTACAGGGGGGTGGCAGAAGGGCACAGTACAGGGGAGATCAGGAGGGCACAGTACAGGGGGAGGCAGAAGGGAACAGTACAGGGGGATCAGGAGGTCACAGTACAGGGGAGATCAGGAGGGCACAGTACAGGGGGGAGTCAGGATGGCACAGAACAGGGGGGATCAGGAGGGCACACTATAGGGGGTAGTCAGGAGGGCACAGTACAGGGGGGAGTCAGGATGGCACAGTAGAGGGGGGATCAGGAGGGCACACTATAGGGGGGGATCAGGAGGGCACAATACTGGGATCAGGAGGGCACAGTACAGGGGGGATCAAGGGGGTACAGTACAGGGGGAGTCAGGAGGGCACAGTACAGGGGGGATCAGGAGGGCACAGTACAGGGGGGAGTCAGGATGGCACAGTACAGGGGGGATCAGGAGGGCACACTATAGGGGGGAGTCAGGAGGGCACAATACTGGGATCAGGAGGGCACAGTACAGGGGGCATCGGGAGGGCACAGTACAGGGGGAGTCAGGATGGCACAGTACAGGGGGGATCAGGAGGCACACTATAGGGGGGATCAGGAGGGCACAATACTGGGATCAGGAGGATACAGTACAGGGGGGATCAAGGGGGCACAGTACAGGGGAATCAGGAGGGCACAGTATAATGGGATCAGGAAGTCACAGTACAGGGGGATCAGGGGGGGGGGCATAGTACATGGTGGATCAGCAGGGCACAGTACAGGGGGGATCAGCAGGGCACAGTACAGGGGGATCAGCAGGGCACAGTACGGGGGGGAATCAGCAGGGCACAGTACGGGGGGAATCAGGAGGGCACAGTACAGGGGGGATCAGCAGGGCACAGTACAGGGGGGGATCAGGATGACACAATACTGGGATCAGGAGGGCACAATACGGGGGGGGGGGGGGGGGGGGGGAATCAGGATGACACAATACTGGGATCACAAGGGCACAGTACAGGAAGGATCAGGAGGGCACAGTACTGGGATCAGGGGGGCACAGTACAGGAGGGATCAGGGGGGCACAGTAATGGGATCAGGAGGGCACAGTACAGGTTCTGGGATGCTGCCTGGGACATGGCCATCCTGGGACACCTTAGTAAAAAAAAGTGTGACTTTCCTGGCAAATCTGGGACAGTTTGCAAGTATGATGTAATGCAAGATTATCATGGGGCCCCCATACATCTGGGGGCCCTGGGCATTACCCAGGGTGCCCGTGCATTATGATGTCCTGCCAATAAGTAGAAGTATATGCTGTTACAGTAGCCAATGAGAAGAAGTATATACTCTCATGCTGGATGGATAGAAGACTTGTATGGTCCTACACTAGAGACTGAGAAGATAAATATGCTCTTCCAATAGATGGTTAGAATGTATAACCTCTTACACCTAGCCAGTGAGAAGTAAATGGTTTGTTATGTCATGCAGTGTGGCCCCTGGCCCCTCCAGTCATCTCATGGGAAGTCTGGATCTTGGACAGGTTCTGATCTCCGTTTTCTCTTTCCAGCTCACCAGAGACTTCTTCACCAAGGAGCTGAAGAAACATTACCAGGGAAACAACAGTACGGACATCTTCACCTCCACCTGGAACTCCGTCATGGTCACTGTGAGTTCACCGACCATCGGTCATCCTTTGCCTTCAGCTCTAGTTCATTGCAGCCGCAGGAGCATGCACTGTAGGAAATGCAGAATATTAATTGTCATCTTTATGTAACCTTTAGGCTCCGTTCACACCAGGGGCGGACTGACCATTTGGAAACTCGGGCACTGCCTGAGGGCCCGGGGTCAGTAGGGGGCCCCATGAGATGCCCCTGGTACCTTTTTCATTGGCTTTTTTGAGTTTGGGCAAAGACACAGGGGCCCCATGATTCCCTATTGCCCGGGGGCCCCATGAGTTGTCAGTCCGCCCCTGGTTCACACTTGAGCATTTTGTATCTTGTAGCACAAAGCTCAAAACCACTCAACAAGCAAAAACCTATCATTTCAATAGCCCTTCTTCACATCTGAGCATCCTGTCGCTTGTAGCCGAACGCCTGTTGCTCAAAAAAGTACATTTACTGGCGGAAGTGAGCATTTTTGTTCCAATAGACTTCAGTGGAAACGCCTGAAAAGCGCATCATGAGCTTTTTTTCTAGCGTTTTTTTTTTTCCAAGCTTTCAAACAATAACTCTCCACCCCTTTTTCAGCAGAACTCCATACCCTTTAGTTGAAAAACCCAACAAAAGCTGCAAAAACCTGCAATTCTTCTAAAAAAAAAAAAAAAAAAAAGCCCCAAAACGCTTGAAAAAAAAAAAACACTTGATGACGATTAGGTGTGATTGTAGCCTAACAAATTGAGAAAATGACGTTATATATAAATATACATTTAGGCCCCATTCATACAAGGCTTTTGAATGGCTGCGATTCTGCCTGCGATTTCAAAATGCGCTGGTAAAATGACAAATCGCAAAACTGCATGTTCAGGTGCCATTCATTTTAATGGCACCTGAAAATGTGGTGCGGTTCTGAGCGATTGTCGAGCTGCAGTCACAGCAAACTGCATCGCGCAACGTGTGCCGCCCCCCAAAAAAAGTTCAGGAACGCCTTTTTGGGGCGATTTATCGCTTGACAATTGCAGCAGAACCACTCTGTGAATGTGCTTCATAGAAAATCTTGATAAATGGCATGCACTGCGTTCCTCCAAATCGCTAAATGCATTAAAAAATGCACAGGTGTGAACCTGGCCTAATCAAGCCTGTGTATGTCTCAATTGTTCTGCTATGTCTTCTTCATTGACACCCCCCGCTGTTTCCTTCTCCTACAGTTTGAATGCTGTGGCGTGAACGGCCCTGAAGATTTCGGGGAAACCTTGCACTTTAAGGCCCATTCTTTCAATGCAGTGCCCGAAGCTTGCTGCAGAAGGAACGTGCTGAGAAGAGAAGCGGAGATCCTGAGCAAGGCAGAGTGCATGTCGGGGATCGACCTGAACAGACAGGTAAAGAGCCTCCCTTGTGATACAGCATTCACTATATCTGCTCTCCCCGGACCCTGCATTCACTATATCTGACTCCCCGGACCCTGCATTCACAATATCTGCTCTCCCCGGACCCTGCATTCACAATATCTGCTCTCCCCGGACCCTGCATTCACTATATCTGGCTGTCCCCGGACCCTGCATTCACTATATCCAGACTCCCCGGACCCTGCATTCACTATAGCTGGTCTCCACGGACCCTGCATTCACTATATCTGGTCTCCTCAGACCCTGCATTCGCTATAACCGGTCTCCCAGGACCCTGCATTCACTATATCCAGTCTCCCAGTACCCTACATTCACTATATCCAGTCTCCCCGGACCCTGCATTCACTATATCCGCTCTCCCCGGACCCTGAATTCACTATATCCGCTCTCCCCGGACCCTGCATTCACTATATCCGGTCTCCCCGGACCCTGCATTCACTATATCCGGTCTCCCGGACCCTGCATTCATTATATCCGGTCTCCCCGGACCCTGCATTCACTATATCCGGTCTCCCCAGACCCTGCATTCACTATATCGTGTTTCCCAGGACCCTGCATTCACTATATCTGGTCTCCCCGGACCCTGCATTTCACTATATCTGGTCTCCCCGGACCCTGCATTCACTATATCCGCTCTCCCCGGACCCTGCATTCACTATATCCAGACTCCCCGGACCCTGCATTCACTATATCCAGACTCCCCGGACCCCGCATTCACTATAGCTGGTCTCCCCGGACCCTGCATTCACTATAGCTGGTCTCCCCGGACCCTGCATTCACTATATATGGTCTCCTCAGACCCTGCATTCGCTATAACCGGTCTCCCAGGACCCTGCATTCACTATATCCAGTCTCCCCGGACCCTGCATTCACTATATCCGCTCTCCCCGGACCCTGCATTCACTATATCCGCTCTCCCCCGGACCTGCATTCACTATATCCGGTCTCCCCGGACCCTGCATTCACTATATCTGGTCTCCCCGGACCCTGCATTCACTATATCTGGTCTCCCCGGACCCAGCAATCACTATATCCGGTCTCCCCGGACCCTGCATTCACTATATCCGGTCTCCCCGGACCCTGCATTCACTATATCCTGGTCTCCCCGGACTCTGCATTCACTATATCTGGTCTCCACGGACACTGCATTCACTATATCTGGTCTCCCCGGACCCTGCATTCACTATATCTGGTCTCCCCGGACCCTGCACTCACTATATCTGGTCTCCCGGACCCTGCATTCACTATATCTGGTCTCCCCGGACCCTGCACTCACTATATCTGGTCTCCCCGGACCCTGCATTCACTATATCTGGTCTCCCGGACCCTGCATTCACTATATCTGGTCTCCCAGGACACTGCATTCACTATATCTGGTCTCCCCGGACCCTGCATTCACTATATCTGGTCTCCCCGGACCCTGCATTCACTATATCTGGTCTCCCCGGACCCTGCACTCACTATATCTGGTCTCCCCGGACCCTGCACTCACTATATCTGGTCTCCCCGGACCCTGCATTCACTATATCTGGTCTCCCCGGACCCTGCATTCACTATATCTGGTCTCCCCGGACCCCGCATTCACTATATCTGGTCTCCCGGACCCCGCATTCACTATATCTGGTCTCCCCGGACCCCGCACTCACTATATCTGGTCTCCCCGGACCCCGCATTCACTATAGCTGGTCTCCCCGGACCCTGCATTCACTATATCTGGTCTCCCAGGACCCTGCATTCACTATATCTGGTCTCCCCGGACCCTGCATTCACTATATCCGGTCTCCCAGGACCCTGCATTCACTATATCTGGTCTCCCAGGACCCTGCATTCACTATATCCAGTCTCCCAGGACCCTGCATTCACTATATCCAGTCTCCCAGGACCCCTGCATTCACTATATTTATCTCCAGGACCCTGTTATCTTGAGATAACCAAGAATAAATAAAGGACGTGCTGCAAAAACTCAGTTATCTTTCCTTGTGCCAAATGCCATATAAATCTAACACCAACCAGCGCTGAATAGTAAATGTGTGGTTTTCCCTTCTAGGGCTGCTATTCCACAATACTCAGTTCCTTGGAGCCTTACGTCTACATTGCTGGAGCGTTGGCCATCGGAGTCCTGGCTGTGGAGGTAAGAGCTTTAGCAGCATACAAAACAAAGCCGTGTGAAGAAACGTCTGCGATGTCGGCGTGCAGATTGTGACACCAGACAGGATTCTGTATTATATTTGCGTAGAGTCAGGGGTCTCCAAACTATGACCCTACAGGTGTTGAACTGCAGGTCCCATGAGGCTTTGCAAGACTGACAGCCACAGGCAAGACTCCCAGAGGCAGAGGCATGATGGGACTTGTAGTACTTCAACAGCTGGAGGGCCATAGTTTGGAGACCCCCCCTGTCTTAAATAAAGACAAAAAAACACAAAGCAGCCCAAGTCATGACTTGCAGTGCCTGCTTCTGACCGTTAGGTGGCACTGTAGCCATTCCTATTTGCAAAATGTAAGTCTTGTTCAGGGCTTTCAAGTCAAATGATATCAATAAGTGTATTGAGCAAAGGCAAAGAGCACTGTGCCACAGCCGTCAATATGCAATCAGCGGTTTTGTTCCAAGTGATGTGGGAGAAATGCGGTTGCTGTGGTAACTGCACCTCTTACCCCCCCCCCGTCATTGCTCTCTCCATATCCCCATATTCCAGCGACTATTATGAACAGTAGTACAATGGACTGGCAGGACTATCGAAGATTCCACGTCCGTGGATTCATATAGTAAAGCTGCAACAGAAATATTACAAATACATCATTGAAAAAAGTTTTTTTTTTAATTTAAATTAAAATGACCTTCCTAAAGGAGTATTATTTATTTATTTCAGGTACTTCTATAGCGCCTTCAATTTACGCCAGAGCAGAGCCCCCCCCCCCTTACATCAGGGTTCTCCTTACATCAGAGTCCACCTATTATACCTGGGTCCCCATCAGAACCCCCACAATAAAGTTCCCATCAGAGTCCCCCTAACATCAGAATCCCAGAGAGCCTCCCCTTCTACCAGGATCTTCATCAGAGCTCCTCTTACATCATTGTCTCCCTTGCACTGTAAGGCTTGCAGTGTTAGAGGTGGAGGAGGTCTGGATGGAGGACGTTATACCCTCCTGTGACTGCTGGAGCAATCGTGTTATTGCTTGTTAGGATGATCGGGGTGGGGATGATGACAATGGAGGGGAAACCTGCACCTGAGGGTTCATTCACATCAGATATGGTGGGACTGCGTTAGGTAGCTATTCTAGTGCAGTTCCACCCCATGACATATTTTTGGAATGGGATGTCCACTAAGCTCCTAGAAGTGTGATGGTTAGGTGTCCATGTCATTGTTCATGATATTGGAATGGGATGTCCACCATAGATGTGATGATCACATGTCCATATGATTGTTCTTGATATTGGAATGGGATGTCCACCATGATCACATGTCCATATGATTGTTCTTGATATTGGAATGGGATGTCCCATTATTCATGATAATGAAATGCAATGTCCCACATAGATCTGACAGTCAGGTGTCAATATGATTGTTCATGATATTGGAATGGGATGTCTACCATCGGTGTGATGGTCAGGTGTCCTTATGATTGTTCATGATATTGGAATTGGATGTCCACCATAAGTGTGACTGTCAGGTGTCCATATGATTGTTCATGATACTGGAATTGGATGCCCACCATACGTGTGACTCTTAGGTGTCCATATGATTAACCATGACTTTGGAATAGGATGTCCACCATAAGTGTGTCGGTCAGGTGTCTATATAATTGTTCATGGCACTGGATTAGGACGTCCACCATAGCTGTGATGGTTAGGTGTCCATGTGATTGTTCACAATATTGAAATAGGACATCCACCATTGGTGTGATGGTTAGGTGTCCATATGATTGTTCATGATATTGGAATGGGACGTCCATCATAGATGTCTATATAATTGTTCATGATATTGTAATGGAGCGGCCACCATAGATGTCTATATAATTTTTCATGATATTGGAATGGGACGTCCACCACAGGTGTGATGGTTAGGTGTCCATATGATCATTCATGATATTCGAATGGGACGTCCCCCATAGGTGTGATGGTTAGGTGTCCATATGATCATTCATGATATTGGAATGGGATGTCCCCCATAGGTGTGATGGTTAGGTGTCCATATGATTGTTCATGATATTGGAATGGGATGTCCACCATCCATGTCTATATAATTGTTCATGATATTGGAATGGGACGTCCACCATAGGTGTGATGGTTAGGTGTCCATATGATTGTTCATGATATTGAAATGAGACGTCCACCATTGGTGTGATGGTTAGGTTTCCATATGATCGTTCATGATATTGGAATGGGACGTCCACCATTGGTGTGATGATTAGGTGCCCATATGATTGTTCATGATATTGGAATGGGACGTCCACCATAGGTGTGATGGTTAGGTGTCCATATTATTGTTAATGATATTGGAATGGGGCGTCCACTATAGATGTCTATAAAATTGTTCATGATATTGGAATGGAGCGTCCACCATAGATGTGTATATAATTGTTCATGATATTGGAATGGGACGTCCACCACAGGTGTGATGGTTAGGTTTCCATATGATTGTTCATGATATTGGAATGGGACGTCCACCACAGGTGTGACGGTTAGGTGTCCATATGATTGTTCATGATAATGGAATGGGATGTCCACCATAGGTGTGGTGGTCATTTGTCCAGAAGACTTTGGTCATAGTGTACTTCCCAATTTGCTCTGTACATTTTATTTGAAAGCTAACCTTACTTTGTGTTCCCATCCACAGCTCTTCGCCATGATTTTCGCCATGTGTTTGTTTCGAGGCATCCAGTAGAGTGAGAATTTCAGCAGACAGACTGCGTGCCAAACTGGGAGGGGCTCACAACTCCCCCACTCCATCAAGACCACCATCTTGCTTCAAAGCCTCCACTGCCGGAGACCCTTGCACTAGCGTTGGGGGCCTCCAACCGTGACAGTGTTACTGTGAACAACCCAAAATAAAGAAAAGGACCCCTCAATTTAGTAGCCTCCAGTCTCTGAGTTTGCGAGACTGCATCGTGATGTCATCATGACGGAGATATTGCAGACCAAGCATCATCTGATCAGCACCACAAATCAAATTTTGTAAATATTAGACTGGACCTAACCAACCACCAACACTGGACCAATCTGCCGGGTCTGCGGGCTTAAGAATTGTCACCCGAGAGTGACAGAGGAGTTCAGGGTAGTAATACGCACTGTATTGTTTTCCAGTTTACCAACAGAAACCGTCAGTTCCTATGTCTGTATCGTGTCCAAGAACTAAATAGAATGATATTCTTTTTTTTTTTTTTCCATGTTCTTGTTTTAGGTTTTTGCTTTAAGGAGATGATTGTATTGTAGCACAAATGCCGTACTGCTCCAGTAGCTCGATTGGTAGGTGATCGTTGTGAGAGGCTGCAACTTAAAGCAGAACTTTAGGCAAAATGGGTAAAATACGCAACAGGGGCGGACTGACAACTCCTGGGGCCCCCGGGCAATAGGGGAACATGGGGCCCCTGTGTCCTTGCCCAAACTCAAAAAAAGCCTATTAAAAAGGTATCAGGGGCATCTCATGGGGCCCCCTACTGACCTCGGGCAGTGCCCGAGTTTCCAAATGGTCAGTCCGCCCCTGATACGCAAGTTGGCAAGCGATTTGTAGTTATGTTCAACCGGGGACCACCACTGGTAATCATGGGGCCCTCTACAGCTTTCCTGACCCCTTTCCCCCCAAGGGCTTCCTTCTCCACTGCTATTTGTCTCCAGCCATCCCACTCATTTTCCCCCTCTCCCGGCCACTCCTCTGTCCTAGATACCCCCTTCTAGTTCAGGGACACCCTCATCCCCCCCAAGACACAAAGGAGGAATATTTATATATTTTTTCAAATGTAGTGCTGTTTATCCCGTGAGACTGCATGTACATTTGTTCGATGCAAATTGAATGCTACTAGGCTGTTTTCGCTCCATGTTGAATGTTATTCATTCATTGAAATGAGTGTTAAAAAAAA